CCGCACTTTCAACTCGGGAACCACAAAAGCTAGGCGGCTGAAATTTTGGCACAGTGTTCCCCGCCAACGGGTGACGCGGCAAATTTAAATTCAGTCTTCCCGTACCCGCGGGTAACAAGTACGGCCCCGAGAAAAGTTTTTTACGGGTAAATTAATATCTCAGGAACCACGGAGTCTGGGAGGCTGAAATTGTAGGGTGATGATCCCCTGCTCACGCTCGACCTTGCGTATTCAAATTCAGCGTTCCCTCGCTGTTGAGTATCACCCACGGCCTCGTGAGAATTTTGGCGGTTAAACTATTAACTCGGGAATCACGGAAAGATGTACACCCTTCAAAATTTCGAATTCAGCTTTCATGCGCTGGTGCGTGAAATTTTTAACTTTTTTCCAATTTTTGAACTATTTTTGCATAACAAAAGTACAAAGCAGTGAAAATCATTAATAGGCAATCGTTCGATGGGCTGAATTTTACAAAACGCGTGATCGCACCGGCTAGTCTGGTGCGCGTTGCTATTTATTATTATTAGTTTCGGATACTTGTATGCATGAGTAGAGATTAGTGCTTTTTTATTGCATAACAGTCGCATAAAAGCACTTGTTACAGGAAATCAGTGATATGAAATTGGCTTTGAATGCACGTGCACGAGTCTCTGCCGAAGAATTCCTCAAACGATTCAACTGACCACTGCTCAGCTTCCTCTCTGTGGTTGACTTGTTGAAGAATGGGATTGATTTTCGACCGTATTTTTCATTGATTTGTCAAAAGCTTTACTGTTGAACTTCTGGAAATGCATCTTTGGTGCGTTATATTTCCAGTTCTCAAATGTTACTTGTTATCCATGACAGGTATGATTGTGTATGCTGTGATATTATTAGTAGCTATATTTCATCACTGCGCATATCCTCGCCACTGATGCGCTTGACAGCGTTTTCATTTTCTTTTCTATTTCTGATCCACGGAATTCTCGTAACTTCGTTGAAACATATAGATTGGTCATTACTTATATAGGTATATGCATTATATATACATATGTTCTCGGATCGGCTATAATTCGTTTTCTGGTTCTCCATTTGTGTAGTTGGTAACTTTCCCAGTTGCTTTTAATAGTGTTGCTTTGTCAGATAATCGACCCGTATCTCTTTTGAAATCTGTTTTTTCTTTCAAAGGGATTACTGCCTAAGCGGTTTTCTCGGTAAATATGCTTTGCGAGGCTTTGATTGTTTCGAAAACGAATCGCCACCTCCTGAACATTACCACTCCAAGATCATGATGAAGCACTTTAGCAGTGGGAAGTTATATATCGTGGGGAGTAATTGGCCACTGTCCCAGTTCTAATATACAGTTTAGTAATAAGCGGTTCATAAAAAGTTCATAAAACTTTTCATACCAATTCTGTAAGAGGCTACAGATCTTTTCAGGCGAATTCTATGCATGCAATTCATCACAAGATTTTGTGCC